AGGACACGACGCACAAAGAGCCCGGCTCAGATCTGTGTGTGTAAAAGTGTGTGTGTGTGTGTGAAAGTGTGTGTGAAAAGTGTGTGTTTGTAAAAGTGTGTGTGTGTGTGTGTGTGTGAGTGAAAGTGTGTGTGAAAGTGTGTGTGTGTGAAAGTGTGTGTGTGTTTGTAAAAGTGTGTGTGTGTGTGTGTGTGAGTGAAAGTGTGTGTGAAAGTGTGGTGTGAAAGTGTATGTGTGTGTGTGTAAAAGTGTGTGTGTGTAAAAGTGTGTGTTGTGTGTGTGTGTAAAAGTGTGTGTGTGTGAAAGTGTTGTGTGTGTGAAAGTGTGTGTGTGTGTGTGTGTAAAAGTGTGTGTTTGTGTGTGTGTGAAAGTGTGTGTGTGTGTAAAAGTGTGTGTTTGTGTGTGTGAAAGTGTGTGTGTGTAAAAGTGTGTGTTGTGTGTGTGTAAAAGTGTGTGTTTGTGTGTGTGAAAGTGTGTGTGTGTAAAAGTGTGTGTTTGTGTGTGTGAAAGTGTGTGTGTGTGTGTGTAAAAGTGTGTGTGTGTGTGTGTGTGTGTGTAAAAGTGTGTGTGTGTGTGTGAAAGTCTGTGTGTGTAAAAGTGTGTGTGTGTGTGTAAAAGTGTGTGTGTGTAATGTAATGTATGTATGTAATGTGTATGTTGTAATGAATGATACAGTACGTTTACATTACGGTGGGACATACAGTACAGTGTTGTGGACAGGGTCAGTTTGGAGGAGCTGACAGGCGCAGACAGGAGCAGACAGGAGCTGACAGGCTGTCGATTATTGTTGGAACAGAATGTAATTTATTATTTGTGAAATATCCAAATAAATTTAAAAATCCTAAGAAAAACAAACATTCTGACTGTGAGCGTGGGCGGAGTCGCCTCTCCACAGATCTGACCTGGAACTTAGTCTGGTTTGGTCTCCATGAAGGCAGAAAGGTTTAATGTCATACTGTGAATTAAACCAGGACTAAACCAGGTCTAAACCAGGACTAAACCAGGTCTAAACCAGGTCTAAACCCAAGACTAAAATCTGGTCCAAACTAGGTCTAAACCAGGTCTAAAATCAGGACTAACCAGGACTAAACCAGGTCTAAGAATAGAGCCAAACTAGGACTAAAAACAGGTCTAAACCAAGGCCTAAACCAGGTCTAAATCAAGTCTAAACCAGGACTGAAACAGGTCTAAACATGGTCTAAACCAGGACTAAAATCAGGACTAAACCAGGTCTAAAAATAGATCTAAACTAGGACTAAAAACAGGTCTAAACCAGGTCTAAACCAGGACTAAAGCTTGACTGAACCAGGACTAAACCAGGTCTAAACAAGGACTAGACCAAGACTAGACCAGGATTAAACCAGATCTAAACCAGCACTAGACCAAGACTAAACCAAACCAGGACTAGACCAGGTCTAAACCTCAAAAATCCCTCGCAATAAACAAACATTCTGACAGTGAGCGTATTTAATGCCGTACTGCGAAACATTCCGGACGACGCGGCAGCACCTCCACGGAGAGAAAAAAACCGTTCGCCGGAGCCTCCCGCGGGGGGAAAAGTTCCGCGGCGCAGCTTTAGCGTCGCGTCGGCTTCCCTCGCTCCCTCCTCCCCTCACCCTTTAAAAAAAAAAACACCCGAAAAAAATGAACCAGACGAAAATCACACCACTAGAGTTGAATTTAGAACTACTGCAGAAAATTGCAGAGAAAATGGTGAGCTCTCAAAACGAAGAGCGTACTGGTGATTTCTCCATGACGATATAGAAAAGTCAACACAAATTCAAAACCATTTGTGTCTCTCAAAAAACAAACCCAAGGAATTTACATGCAGTGCCCCGGAGATATACTGGCAGAAATCACACGTCAAATTAACACTTATAAAAATGCACTTGTTAATACACTGTACACACATAGAATCACGTTTTTTAAAAAATTACTCCAACATTGTATTTTTTTTTTTCTGCAAACTATAAAAGGTGACTATTCCGTACCTTTGGCGTGGAAAAGTAACTACGGTAATAAAGCTTGTTCGAAAACCTGAGTCAGCTACTTCTAACACAATACTGTTCTAAGACGGGCTGAGTGTATCGCAAAAAATATATTACTTTTTCTTTTTTTTTTTTTACTTTTTTTTCATAATTTTTTGACTCTAAATTGGTTAAACTACTCATTAAAGAGTCCGTACCTGATTTTTTTTTCCAATTTTTTTGAGCAAAATGTGCCTCATCCTAGCACAGATATATCAGATAAGCATTAGGCCGTGTTCCGTCTATCAGATCATCAGGAAGTGCATGGTTCGCATACTAGTTGTTGTTAGCCTGTGTCTGATTTTTATTTTCCCGTTTATTTGAGCAAAATGGGTCTTATTCCAGTACAGATATTTTGTATAAGCGGCTGCTGAAGTAAAAATAAGTCTGCTATATACTGTCTGTGTGTAATTATAAAGCTTTTCAGATCATCAGGAAGTGCACAGTTAGCATGCTAGTTGTTGTTATCCCATATCTGATTTTTATTTTCCCGTTTATCTGAGCAAACTGTGTCAGTACAGATATATCATATAAGCAGTGCTGTGTTCCGTCTGTATCTAATTATAGAGTATTTTACTGTCAGATCATCAGGAAGTGCGTGATTCGCATACTAGTTGTTGTTCGCCTGTATCTGATTTTTATATTTCCTCATGTATTTTGTCTTATCCCAGTACAGATATTTTGTATAAGCAGCTGCTGAAGTAAAAATAAGTCTGCTGCTATGTACTGTCTGTGTGTAATTATAAAGCATTTCAGATCATCAGGAAGTGCACGGTTAGCATGCTATTTGCTGTTAGCCTGTGTCTGATTTTTATTTTCCCTCACGTATTTGAGCAAAATGTGCCTCATCGCAGTGCAGATGTGTTGTACAAGCAGCTCTTGGGGTCAAAATAAGTCCAGTGTCTGCACTGAACATCAGGAAGTGCACGGTTCGCATGCTAGTTGTCGTCGTTAGCTTAACCGTGGCTTCTCTGAGAGTTGCGAAAGAGAGTCCCGCTTACAAAGTCATCGCTGTGAATATTGAGGACTCTCTGAAGGAATGGATTCGATCTGCTTTTCCAAAACGTTAAAAAATCAGGTACGGCGTCTTTAAAACGATCACGCTTCACCGCGATCGGTTAAACCCGCGATTGGTCACTCGCTCGGAGCACGGCGGGCGGCGAAGCGAGTCAAAATCCCGTATTATTATAATGATTCCGATATCACTCAGCCCCGTTACAATTTCACTACTTAACTACGACACGAAGAGCGAGTACGGATGTGAACACTGCACAGATGGAGGATGGAGCGATGGGAGGGGGGGGGTATGGCTTTTAGCTGACTCTCTTCACTGTACAACTCCTCACAGATTCAGACCGAACACACGTGAGGCTGTTTACCGCGTTTAAAACCTCCCGTATTACACAAAACGGACTCTCGTGAGCTTTAAATCGCGTTCGAACGTCGTCACCTCTTCAAAAACGCACCGTACCTGGAGTCGTGTTTTGTTTCGTTTGCGTGTTTGAGGGACACTTTGAGTCCCGTTTTTAGTTCCGTTAAAGCTCTAAATGCTCCGCTCCAACCTCGCGATGTTGTAGTTTAATGTTAAAAAAGCACTTAAATGTAACTTTTAACTTTTTGGAACTGTTCTATCTTATTAGCCTGATTCCACTTCATAGAAACTGTGTGACCTCGCAGCGTTTGGATTCGTTCGCTCAATGGTAGGTGGGTACTTTTTATTATTTAACCAATCGCTGCTGTTTGGTCGTGACGAATGTAATGCTCCGCTAACGAGGTTAACTGGTAAATTAAGCTTTTCCCAAATCCCGTAGGAAGGACAATAAAGTCTTTCCCCTTGATGAAATTCACCAAACATTCTCTTTGTTCAAACTTTAAATCCTCGATCTCGGGAATCGTTGACAACAAAGAATGTCTGACTCTTCGCTGATTGGCTGGGGCCTGAACTCGCACTTCTGAGGTTTTTGCGAACCGTCTAGTGTATTCCGATTCCTGACCTGGTCGCTGGAGAGAAATGGAATTGAGCGGAGACACTAGGTTCTTTTTTTTCAGACCAAGAGTTTGTTTTCATCCCTGACAGTTTTGGCCGCTCCGCTGTGGTCTTCCTCAGAGTCTCATGATGTTTCTGTGTCATGTCGCTCAGATGATTTAAACAGATTTTGGTTCTGTCTTCCTCTCGGTGGAGGCAGGACGACAGCAACATCTGGACAGTATCCCAGGTGTGTGAGAGTAAAAAAGCCCCTCATCCCGGTTTATCGTCCCGTGGCCACGTTTCCGTATTCCGATTACCTCTTTAATCTGTCAGTGTTGTTTGTTTTCCTTTGCGATCACTCTGACTCAGAGGAAGAGCGCAGGGAGCGGTCCAAACTGTCAGGTATGAAAACAAACTCTCGGTCTGAAAAACAACATAAATTATCGGACGACCAAATGAACCTCGTTGGACTATGGAGCTCTACGTTATATTCATTCAGAGGTGGTTTTATAGCTCAAAAATCCTCAAAAAACAGGAATTCTGACTTTGAATGGGTCGCCTCTCCGCAGATTGGACCTGTAACTTGGTCCGGTTCAGTCTCCGTGAAGATAGAAAGGTTTAAAACTGGGACTCTCTCGGTTTGTGGTGGTTGGTTTTGATAAAATTGTGAAATGAGTGCGTAATTAAGTAAAACTGTTCTGCACTTGTGAGTCAGTAGAGTCACATTTTTGTCATTTTTAAGCACATTTTCTGTTTTTTTTTTACCTAACAAATGACAGTTTATGCCTCTTTTTACTGTTGGTTTAGATCAGATCGGTCAAAAATAGGGACACCTGGGAGTTTTTTTGTATAAAACTGCGACAAATCAGCAGTTTTGGGTAAATCTGCTGAGACTGGGAACACAATACTCAAATCTGGGAGTGTCCCGGGAAAATAACGCAACATCTCCGTGGAGTTGAGCATTTGACTGCACCAAAAGATTAAAAAAAATGACACAATGCACCTTTTATCAGCTACGTTTTAGTTTTTCTTCCGCAGAAATTGGCAGTCAGCTTCCAGCTTGAGACAAGAACTCAGCCTGAACGTGCCGGGTTTGTGCGTTCAACGTGTGAACGAAACAAAACACGACTCCAGGTCTTATTTTGACGAGGAAACGACGTTAGAACAGATCGTAAAATTGCATAATACGGAACATTTAAACACTTGTGATTGTGTTTTACATTTGTCTCATGGGGAAGAAGGATCAGAACGATTTGAATGTCATGTCACACTGTCTTGAAATTACAATAATTTCTGATTGCGTTTACAAATTTCAATTTAGCGTGCGCATTCCCTATTGATACTTTGCAGCCGGTCGACGGTCGTGGACATTCTCTGGGGGGTGGGGGTGATGCTAACGTGAGGCACTGCTCCGTCTAAAGCTCTGTAACTCAAGTTCGATTTTAATCTCAACACAATCTGACAGTTTTCAAGTAGTCACGTTCACATTTTTGTTGAAACGTGTGCACAATCCCTCCGTCGTTTAATTCGTCAACTGGATAAAAGTTTATTTATTTATTACTAGTTTCAGAGTAGTTTCAGTGTAGTTAGCGCTTCCCCTCATGAAATGTATTCGACCAAATAAACTTTTATCCAGTTGAAGAATCGAATTTCTCCTTTAGTCGCAATTTTCTTGAAAATCAAACTCCTAAACGGGACCATGAACGCTCGCAGTGATCACGGGAAAAAGAAAATGTGCTCTTTAAGTCACGTTTGTACTTTTTCTCACGTTAACAGACAATCGTAGAAGTTTTTTTTTTTTTTTTGGCAGCGTTTGCTCATTTGTGCGTTGTGTCGCCATGGTCACTACCGAACATTCCTCCATGGACGCACACGTGGAACACCCCCCAGCACGACGTCACCGCAAAGTATCAATAAAAAAGCCAGATTCCGAATACAGTTTCAGAATCTGCGCACAAATTAGGACATTTAGAACATTTTTTTTTCTTTACATTCAGAAAAATAAATTACAATATTTTCCACCTACGAATTGCATGGTTTAATTTCACAAAAAAAGGTGCTTCAGGTGCTTCTTCTTACTCGAAAACACTCGCACTCTCTCCAATCATTTCTTTTTTTTTAGGGTGGGGATTCGAAATACATTCATATCTTTAAAACCAATTCTCCATTTTTCACGGTGATGAAAAACGTAAGGTGCCACGTCCAGGCCTCGTCCCGACAGCCCGTGTGAAGAACTCCGCCCAAGTCCGGGAAAAAGTGAAGAGCGCTTTGTGACAACTGAGAGCTGTATCCAGAGTCCGAGCCGGTTGCATATTCTCCGTGTTGTTGCGGCGGTAGGTGGGTAGTGTTGTGAGTAAACAGGTCTCCCTTCGACCTCTGACCTCTGACCTCTGACCCTGACGTCACAAACCCGGAGCCGAGAGAGGCCGGGGCCGGGGCTGCACCGGCGGATAAAGTCACGACCGCTGGGAGTTTGTGAGTTGAAATGTTGTTTGGTGAAGACAAAGACGTGAAGCAAAGTGAGTATCGTTCGAGGGGGAGTGTAAACTGTGACTTAAAGGTTCTGTTTTGTGTTAATTTGTGTAATTTAAGCACTAATTTAATTTTTAAAAGAGCTGAAATTTGATTCTTAAGCTTTTAAAGATCAACTATGATGCAATTTTGATCTATCTGGACCAAAATGCACCCGAAAATCATCTTATAGGCTCTATTCACTTAAGAAAAACATCTGGAAACATGCGATGGCAACTTCCGGTGTAGAAAAAACATAATTTAAGTTAAGCCAAAATGTCAATATAAGGAGGCCTGGCAGTTTGGTTAAGATGCTCTACCATGTTACTTTAGTTTTATTTAATCAAACTTGTGTCCATGTTTCATATTTGTTGTGGGTGTTACTCTGTGCTTTTGTGTTTTGTTTTGATGTTGATTATTGTATTTTGTTAAATGTTATATTCTGTTGTTTTACGGTGTAGTTCCCGACACTGGGCTCGCCTACCGACCCGTTGAAGTAAATGTGATCAGCGTTTGGAATCATCTGGAATCTCTATTCGCTCAGCTGGGGTGAAAAACGTATTTGTTATTAATATTTATTGTATACGATCGTTTCTTAGGGTGACCAAACATCCGTTTTTCCCTAGACATGTCTGTTTTTTGGGTCCTGTCCTGAGCGTCTGGGTTTTTTTTTTTTTTTTTTATAAAGTGATGCAGATGTCCGGGTTTTCATGATCTTTCATTGGGGCCATTAAACTGAGCGTCTCTCGTAGCCTCTGTAACTCAGAAGGAGCGAGACACAAACAGTCGGTCGGTCTGCAACACGCCGAAGCACAAATGCGCATTTAACGATGATTTGGACAAGAAATTCCCCGTTTTCTGTCCCGGTCGAGACAAGTGGGAGGCCATGCGCACAGTTTGCGAGATGAGAGTAGCTCAGTGTCGAGGCAACTTCCCCCATCTCCGGTAAGGTGTCCGGGTTTTCACAAACGAAAATATGGTCACCCTATCGTTTCTTTGTGTGTATTAGACTGTTGGTCGCTTCCTCTTCAGACACACGGGAGATTTAAGTGGAGAGGGGAAGCTCAGAGGGTGTGACACTGTGGATTATATCGCTGTATTTTTGGATTTTCACGTGTCCCAAAAAGTTCCCAAAGTTTTCCCACGCCGTGCAGCAAACGTTAAGTGAGTTGGTAGAGTCGAGTAGAGTCTGTAATGTTACTCGTGATACTCATGATGCTCCTGCAATTTCTCTCACAACCCGGCAGTTCCCGCGGAAAAGTACAATCCAATGCCGGGTTGTGAGAAATTACGGGAGCGTGGATATCGTGAGTAACGTTACAGACTCTACAGACTCACTTGATGTTTGCTGTACGGCGTGGGAAAACTTTGGGAACTTTTCGGGACTAGTAAAGTAAAATAATGTTTTTTAGGGTTTTTTTTTTGCACTGTGATTAATATTTGTGTTTGGGTTTTGGGGGACAGGGTGACCTTAAGTGTGGGGTGGTGGAATTGTGAATTGTTACAGCCGAGGAGCCACGAAGAGATAAAAAAAAAACTGGGACATTTTCTCATTTTTCTTAAATTTTGTCAGACTTCGTACGGAGCCCGCCGAAAGTCGTCATCGCATGTTTCCAAATGTTTTCTTGGTTTGTGACGAAACCGTGAATAGAGCCTTTCGCATCCGATTAAAGGATATCAGATGAACCGATATCACGGAACCGATCATTTTTAATTCTAATTCTTCAGTATCGGCGCCATTTTTGGATATCGGCATCAGTGCATTCCTGTTGGTCCCGCGTCTTCAGAGTGACGTTTCCTCTGCAGAAACGCCAACACGACTTTTTGGAGCAGCGGTTCTGATTTTAATGTGATTTTATGTTAAAATGACTTGAATTAAGAAAGTTTTATCATGATTTCAGCTAATTTCACTTGACGAGTAAAATGATCCGCCAAAGGAATAAAACTTTTTGTTCTAAAAATATGAAAATACATCTTGCTACACTTAAAAAAAGAAAAACAACAACTTTTTTGTACTTAAAATAAGAAACAAAATCGAATGTTGCTTGAATTAAGAAAAACACACTTATTCCTTTGGTGGATAATTTTACTTGTCAAGTTGAATCGACTCTTCTCTTAATTTAAGTCGTTTTAACTTGCGTAGATATTTTTTTTCCAGTAAGAGCAGTGGGCAGGGATAGGGGGTAGGTGAAAACAGATATTTCTAGAGCGCTCAAGGCTCAAATGCAGGACAATAAAGAATTGCTCAAACATGAGTCACTGAAACTACAGCTCTGAGTGAGATAATGACGAGGGGGAAACATTAGAGCGTCAAAACTCCTGTAGGTGTATTTTGCATATGTCTGGTTTAAATACAGATATAAAGCAGAGTGCAGCCTCAGCCCTGGAGCGTCTCTCTGGACTCTGTAGCCAGTATATCTGAGGGCACTATATGTGATGACAAACAGTCAGTGATGTTGGAGGTATTCAGAGTACACAGCCCCGGATCTGTGCCTAACACGGAGACTCTAACATGGGCTGTGTGGCCTCCGTCTGCTCGCTCTCCAGCTTCAGACTCTCCTCTTTCTTGGCTCCGCTCTGGGGCAGCGCGTGCTTCACGTTGAAAAAGTCGAACTTCTCCGGGATGATGCCCCTGTCGAAGAGCTGCGCCGCCACGTACGAGAAAAACAAGATGGCCAGGACGGCGGAGAGCATGCAGATGGTCCTGATGGGCCAGGTCTGCACGTACACGCCGTTCACCAGGGCGCACCCGGGGAACATGAGCACGGGGGGGATGCCGAGCACGGGCTCTCCGCACAGCACCCGCAGGAGCATCCCGGTGGCGCAGCCCAGCACGGCGCCGTACCCGTTGGACACTTTGAAGAAGAGGACGCAGACGAGCTGAGGCAGCATCAGCGTGTAGGTCAGGTCCGAGCGCAGCAGCCAGATCATCAGGACGCTGTTGTCCAGGAACGTGAGGGACGTCCCGGCCAGACCCACCACCACCACCGAGCCCTGGATCACCCACTGGATCTCGCGCTCCGATGCCTGCAACACACAGACAAGAACAAGACTCTGAGGAGAAAGCTTAAACCACACTACCAGTCAAAAGTTTTAGAACACCACACTTTCTCCAGGTTTTTACTGTTGTACCGTTTACTGTTGACTAAAAACGTATTTAAAACTTTTGGTTCATGAAAGAGTCCACCTTTGGCAGATATAACCGCTGAACACACTCGTGGCTCGTTCTTTTTACATCAGAAATCAAATATTCTTCAGAAAGTTTTTCCCAAGTCTGTTGCAGAAGTTTCAATAAATGTGTGACATTTGCACAGAGCAGCTGCAAGGTCTTAAAAGTCTTTAAAAGGTCTTAAATTTCATGTTCCTAAATTAAGGGCTTGAAAAGTCTTAAATTTTGTTGTCCAGGTCTTATTTTTTTCACAAAGGTCTTAAATTTCATTAACCTATTATTTTTGTAGACTCAGTCGGGCTGCAGTATAATGTTAAATGGAGAAACAAAAAAAATGAGTGCGATGTTGGTCTTAAAAACGTCTTAAGCTCGATGGGGTTTAAGTCTGCAAACAGGTTTTCAAGCTTTACCATCTTGTTCTTTTTTTCTTGAGGGAGCTTGGACTTGTGTTCTGTTCTTTTTATCTTTTTTTAACCTCTGTCTGTTCAGTTTTTACCTTTGCACCATTTCAAGCTCTTCATTAGACTTGCGTGACTTGAATTGCAAAGAATACCTGGAAGAGTTAGGGTGTTCTAAAACTTTTGACCGGTCGTGTATATTCCACTGGTTTTATTTTATTTTCTAAAAGGAAGAAAAATAATCCTTTGGTCCACAGTGTTCTCTCTAGAGGTGCTTTTGTCCACACACTGTTGTCTTAGTAAGCAATAGCATCAGTCCAGGGTCCGGAGCCAGGATCTCGACAGGGGGACTGAGGTGCAGCTTTGGCCATCTGCAGGTTTTTTTCCACTGTTTCTCTCTTCCTCTCGTTATCTGTTCTGCTCATCCTAAACAAGTCTGTAAGAGTAACTGTGCGGTTTGTATAAGAACACCACGATCTGTCGGAGGGAAAACACCGAACGATCGAGACCGTGTCAGACAATACAAGACCAATACATACCCTTGAAATAAAACAAACACTTGATCTGTTTTATATACACAGAAATATGAAGCTGCTATTTGAAATCATGTGCGTAAAAGTGGAGAAGACGAAGCACTAACACCGTGGAGAATTAAAGCTACATTAAAGCTTCAGCCTCACTTTGTTCCAGAGTCCTGCACCAGGTCGGGCGCCTGCAAATAGTTGCTGAAACGGGCGGGTTTTAACGTTCTGGAATTTTATGGGCGGACAGTGATTACACACGGCGCGGTCAGTTGAATCAAATGAACGATGAACGGGAGAAAAATACTTGACGCGTCCAGGGTGTCTGTTGCTCTGGAAACAAGTGACATTTCCAGGTCTTTTCCCGGAACAATGGACTAGACTGAGAGAGACTTTAGTGTTTTTATGACATTCAACCAGCATCGGAGCTTGACTCGACTGATGCGCTCCTGGTTTAGTCCTGGTTTAGTCCTGGTTAAGACCTGATTTAGTCCTGGTTCAGTCCTGGTTAAGTCCAGATTAAATCCTGGTTTAAACCTGGTTTTAATGCTGGTTCAGTTCTGGTCCAGTCCTGGTTTAGTCCTGGTTTAGCCATAGTTAAGTCCTGATTTAGTCCTGGTTAAGTCCTGGTTCAGTACTATTTCAGTCCTGGTTTAGACCTGGTCCAGTCCTGGTTTAGTCCTGGCTTAGACCTGGTTAAGTCCTAGTTTTGTCCTGGTTAAGTTCTGGTTAAGTCCTGGTTCAGTCCTAGTTCAGTCCTGGTTTAGATCTGGTTCAGTCTTGGTTCAGTCCTGGTTTAGTCCTGGTTCAATCCTGGACTACTGGGCTGTTGGACTAATGGACTGAACCTGATTTATCACGGGGCACGGGGCAGGTGCGGATTTAATGTTGATATAGTCGCGGGTTAAAGGGGCGGGTGTGGGTCTCCAAAAACGGAGCCGTGCAAGACTCTGACGTGTTCGGCTGTTTGAGGCTCAGCTCGTTTTTAAACTCCGGCTCAGCTCACGGCTCTGCTCACTCATCTCATTTTGTGTCTAGACTCCAGGGGAAGAGTCTCCTCACCTCCTGCTCTACACGTCCTGCTCATCAGTCACTGCTCTGGGCCTAAGTACCAAACCTCGGTGTATAATGATATGACCCTTCACCTTTTCCTCTGAAGAATATCGTCTCATTTGAGTCTCTCCGGGTTCACTCGTCTTGTAACGTACATTTTATTGTCCTTCCTCTGGATTTGACCTGGAGCAGATCTTGAGCTCGTCTAGATCAGGACAAACTACGTTCTGCGTGAACAGGTTAGTAAAACTGGACTCAGAGCACGGCCCGCACCTGCCGCACCTGCCTCTGTCCGTCCGTGTGTGTCTGTCTGTGTGTGTCCGTGTGTGTGTGTGTGTCCGCCTGTGTGTGTGTGTCTGCGTGTGTGTGTCCGTGTGTGTGTCTGTGTGTGTGTGTCTGCGTGTGTGTGTGTGTCTGCGTGTGTGTGTCCGTCTGCGTGTGTGTGTGTCTGCGTGTGTGTGTCCGTGTCCGTGTGTGTGTCTACGTGTGTGTGTCCGTGTGTGTGTGTCCGTGTGTGTCTGTGTGTCTGTGTCGTGTGTGTGTCCGTGTGTGTGTGTCCGTGTGTGTGTCGTGTGTGTGTCCGTGTGTGTGTCTGCGTGTGTGTGTCCGTGTGTGTGTGTGTGTGTGTGTGTCGTGTGTGTCCGTGTGTGTCTCCGTGTGTGTGTCTGCGTGTGTGTGTCCGTGTGTGTGTCCGTCTGCGTGTGTGTGTGTGTGTCCGTGTGTGTGTCTGTGTGTGTGTGTGTGTCTGCGTGTGTGTGTGTCCGTGTGTGTGTGTCCGTGCGTGTGTGTCCGTGTGTGTGTGTCCGTGTGTCGTGTGTGTGGTCTGCGTGTGTGTGCGTGTGTGTGTGTGTGTGTGTCTGCGTGTGTGTGTCGTGTGTGTGTGTGTGTTGTGTGTGTCTGCGTGTGTGTGTCTGTGTGTGTGTGTGTCCGTGTGTGTGTGTGTGTCCGTGTGTGTGTGTGTGTGTGTCCGTGTGTGTGTCCGTGTGCGTGTCTGTGTGTGTCTGCGTGTGTGTGTCCGTGTGTGTGTGTGTCCGTCTGCGTGTGTGTGTCCGTGTGTGTGTGTGTGTGTGTGTCCGTGTGTGTGTGTCCGTGTGTGTGTGTCGTGTGTGTGTGTGTGTGTCCGTGTGTGTGTCGTGTGTGTGTGTCTGCGTGTGTGTGTCCGTGTGTGTGTGTGTCCGTGTGTGTGTGTGTCCGTGTGTGTGTGTGTGTGTGTGTCCGTGTGTGTGTGTGTGTGTGTGTGTGTGTGCCGTGTGCGTGTGTGTGTGTGTGTGTGTCCGTGTGTGTGTCCGTGTGCACCCACCTGAGGCCGGAGGATGTTCTTGTAGATGTTGGAGGTGAAGATGGAGGCGGCGGACAGGAGGGCGGAGTCTGTGGACGACATCACGGCGGCGGCCACGGCCCCGATGCCGATGATGGAGATGTAGTAGGGGGTGAGGTACTGCAGCACGATGGGCAGGATCAGACCGGTTTCCCCTCGCTCCACCGGAGACAGAGGCCCGTACGCCGTCAGGTTCCAGTCTGCGCGAACAAACACAAACACAAACACAAACACACCAAATCTTAACTCCCAACCTCAAATAAACCAGCGGAAATCATGTGTCTAGTAGTTAGTGTTGGGAAGTTTACTTTTAAAATGTAATCCCCTACAGATTACAGATTACATACACCAAAATGTAGTTTGTAACAGAATCCATTAAATTACTTAAAGTGAGTAATGTAATCTGAATACTTTGGATTACTTGATTTGCTGTAGAGAAGCAAAGACGAGGAAATATTCACAGAAGATGTTTTTTCTGCTAAAAGAAAATAAAAAGTCCAGACTTTACTGAACCAAATTAAAAATATTATTGATAGAAAACGAAGAGACACGTCCACACAGCAGGATTTAGTCCTGTTTTAAACCTGGTTTTAGACGTGGTTTAGTCCTGGTTTAGTCCTGATTTAGACCTGGTTTAGATCTTGTTTAGACCTGGTTTTAGTCCTGGTTTAGACCTGGTTTAGACCTAATTTAGACTTGGTTTTAGTCCTTGTTTAGTCCTGGTTTAGACCTGGTTTAGTCCTGGTTTAGATCTGGTTTTAGACCTGTTTTAGACCTGGTTATAGTCCTGGTTTAGATCTAGTTTGGACCTGGTTTTAGACCTGTTTTAGACCTGGTTTAGTCCTGGTTTAGATCTAGTTTGGACCTGGTTTTAGACCTGTTTTAGACTTGGTTTTAGTCCTTGTTTAGTCCTGGTTTAGACCTGGTTTAGACCTGGTTTAGTCCTGGTTTAGCCCAAAATGTGAAAACAGTTAAATCCCTCTGTGTAATCCATTTATTTCAACAAAGTAACTGTAATCCAATTACCACTCACTGAAACAGTAACTGTAACTGAATACAGTTACTCATAATTTGTACTCTGATTACATAACTCTGGTACATGTAATCTGTTACTCTGGTGTCAGATGCCCTCCCCGTGTCTAAAAGCCGCTCTGAGCTCCACAAACCTCTTCTGAAATGCACCAGATTCTTGGATTAGTTTGTGGCTTCAGATTTCAGCCGCTTCAAATATTAATGCCTCCGGATGAGTATAGAATGTGCAGCGTGAACTCAATGCAAATGTTTAAAGTCCTCAGGAAAATCATGTTGTTTTTTTTCTCTTTAGTTAATCTGCTCTATACTGAACATAATCCCTCTCTTAAAGCGCCACATCACACTAGATCTGTTTTCTCATCTCACCTCATGTTTCCTCGTCGAAACGGGCAGATTTTTGACTTTCAAATGTCTCTTATTCAGAAACTAGAGGAACTATTGAAATAAGTAAAGTATCAGAATGTAGGAAAGAGTTACACTCCAACAGGGTCTAAACCAGGTCTAAAACCAGGTCTAAACCAGGACTAAACCAAGACTAAACCAGGACTAAAACCAGGTCTAAACCAGGTCTAAACTAGATCTAAACCAGGTCTAAAACCAGGACTAAAATCAGGTCTAAACTAGATCTAAACTAGATCTAAACCAGGTCTAAAACCAGGCCTAACTAGGTCTAAACTAAGTTTAAACTAGATCTAAACTAGATCTAAACCAGGTCTAAAACCAGGTCTAAACTAGGTCTAAACCAGGACTAAACCAAGACTAAACCAGGACTAAAACCAGGTCTAAAACCAGGCCTAACTAGGTCTAAACTAGGTTTAAACTAGATCTAAACTAGATCTAAAACAGGTCTAAACCAGGTCTAAACTAGGTCTAAAACCGGGTCTAAAACCAGGTCTAAACTAGGTCTAAAACCGGGTCTAAAACCAGGTCTAAACTAGGTCTAAACTAGATCTAAACCAGGTCTAAGCCAGGCCTAATACCAGATCTAAACCAGATCTAAACCAGGACTAAAACCAGGTCTAAACCAGGTTTAAAACCAGATCTAAACCAGGTCTAAACTAGCTCTAAACCAGGACTAAAACCAGGTCTAAACCAGGTCTAAAACTGGGTCTAAAACCAGGTCTAAAACCAGATCTAAACTAGCTCTAAACCAGGACTAAAACCAGGTCTAAACCAGGTCTAAAACAGGACTAAAACAGGATTTAACAGGACTAAACCATAAACCGTGTGGACGTGTCTCCTCGTCTTCTATCTATAATATTTTTAATTTGGTTCAGTAAAATCTGGGCTTTTTATTATTTTCTTTTATCAGACAAAACATCTTATGTTCAGATGTCCGGGTCTTTGCTTCTCTACAACAAATCAAGTAATCCAAAGTATTCAGATTACATTACTCACTTTTAAGTAATTTAATGGATTACGTTACAAACTACATTCTGGTGTGTGTAATCTGTAATCTTTAGGGGATTACATTTTAAAAGTAAACTTCCCAACACTGTCAGACACACACAGGGACACTTTGTTTTCTCGTGTCTGAGTGCTGAGTGGTTGTTGTCCGTTCAGACTTTGGTCGTCGTTCCTCTGTCCTCGGTCTGATTCATGCGTTGGTACAAACCACAGCTTCAGAAATAGCTGCTTCCCGTTTTGTGCGGTGTTTCGAAGAAGTCCCACAGTTCGGGATTTCGACATCTGCCCAAACTGCCGGTGTGTGTGCCAGTGTGTGCCAAAACAAAAAGAATTGATGTAATAGTTTGCAATTTTTTAGCACATTTTAATTTTTTCTCGGGGCAGGGTGACGTCATCGGCCAAAAATAATGGACATTTTTGCAGCTCAAACGAAGCATAAAAGATTGACATAGTTTTTGGAGGTTTGCTTTTGATGGGGGGCCAACTTCACGCAGATAAGGTGAAGGTGTGTGGAGTTTAAAAACACAGTGCAGCATTTACCGTGTTTCTGTTTTCTAATTGGGAGAAGAACTCAGTCTAAATGTGCAGAGTTTGTGCGTTAAACTTAAAAACATGTGGATGAAACAAAACACAACTCCAGTTCTGTTTGTGACGAGGAGACGGCATTATAACAGATCAGAAAATTGCGTAATCCGAGCCCTTTAAAAAGGTTCCGTAGAGGTTCAAGCAATCGTGTAAAAACTGTAAATGTTGAATTACTTGTGGATGCAGCGACCGCCCCCAGCAGGATGGGAGGGATGCCCAGCGTGGGGACGATGAAGGCTGCGGCGAAGCAGGTGATCTTGGCCGTGGACGAGGAGGTGGCCGACAGCGTCCTCTGGTGGAAGTTCTGCAGACCCAGGTTTCCCAAACCCTGCACAGAGAGAGACCACGGGGAGAACAACGGCGGTCAGGGCTGGAGCAGGACCAACACTTCAGGGAGAGTGTGACCGTTTCAGGAACTCAAAATGATCCTCAGTGTCAAATTCTGATAATACTCTGAGTAACAATTCTATCTAGTAAATAATCTGAGCTGTTTTCTGTTCATAGTGCAGTAAGAACTAAACTACGGAAGCCCTGAGCGGCAAGCAAGAAAAAAAAAAAGAGGCACATCATTTTTTTTCACCAACAACTCAACAAAAAAATAAAAAAATAATTAAAATAAAAAATAAATAAATACATAAATAAATATAACAATAATAATAATAATAATAATAATAATAATAATTCTTGCCTTTAAAAAATATATATAATATTTTTGGACCAACTTAAAAAACGTTTCTTGACTTTTTTTTTTTTTGCACAAACAGTTATTTCCAGGCTCAAAAAATTTCTGTTTGACTGTGCATATAACTGAAAGGTTTTCATTCCTCACTCTTCTCTCCAATTTATGTCTCTCTTTTTTAAATTTTAATCTTTAGGTTTTGATTTGTTTTTATTATGATTCTAATTTTAATGTATTTCTTATTCTGTAAAGCACTTTGAATTACTTTGTGTACGAATTGTGCTGTACAAATAAACTTGCCTCGCCTTATTTATTTAATTAATTAATTTTTTACTGTTGATGTGGCTGATGGAAAAAAAACATCTAAAATCAAACACTCCAGAGCGTGTTTTCCCAGAATATTAGTTTAAATGCCAAAGTTCAGCACACGTGAATTTGTGGAGAGATAAACTCATGAGGTAAGGCGTTGGGTTTGAGGATGTGGGAAAATGGGGTTTGAGACTCATCTTCCCCAATTCATTTTAGCTGAGGGCATCATTTTTTTCCCCAGCAAAGTCAACAGCAAAAAAAAGAGCTGTTTGTGCAAAAAAAAAAAAAAAAAAAAAAGAAACAATTTTTTTTGAGTTGTTGATGCAAAAAAGAAAAAAACAAAAATGACCTTGCTGCATGAACAGATCATTTCACTACTTTTAAGTCATTTTCTGATAGATTTAAGTGTTCATATCGTGACGTTTTTTCGCAGTGTGTAAATGTGTGTAACTGTTCTGAAATATCCACCGTACCAGTAGCAGGAAGTTATCGATCCACCTCCAGGCCCGGTCCCCGTCCAGCGAGCCCACCCACGGGTTCTGGTAGGTGAAGTTATAGGCCGTCTGCGTGATGTCCAACACTGCAGGACTCATCATGGAGAAGGGCACGCACAACCACTGAGGAGACAGCGACAAGGTCAGACACGACATACACACCAGTAAACACAACGGCTGTCAGGGTTTTAAGGGGAAAATATGGATGCCCGAGAAAGTTTAATGTTTATTTTGTTCAATTCTGAGCCCGGTCAAGTAGAAGTAAACAACAAGGCCAAAAATTCAAGTTAATTCATCTGATATAAAAATGTATTGAACAGATACATATGTACTCTAGTTTATCAAACTGTTGACCTGTTTTCTGGACCATTTTTGGTTCTAAAGTTCCATCTGTTTTAAACAGACCATGTATGAAACATGGAACAAAAATTTTTTCCCAAATTTCAAAGACCCAAAAATCATGTAAATAAATGTTTGTATTTCATCATATCTTGTGTTATTCCATCTTTAAACTGATGATGAAGGTACATGATTTAAAAAAAAAAAAAAGTATTTAAAATGATAAAAATTTGCTTGGAAGAACTGACATATTTTATAGAAATAGTTTCCATTCATTTTGAAGTAATATTAAAGTATTTAGAAAAAAGCCACAAATGATGTAAAATCCTGCACCTTCTACTTGTTTGCACAATTTTCCCTCCGTTACTTTTCCCTCCGTTACCATGAACCTTTCTTCATAAAAAATCTCATGAGTCAAAAAGTTTTTCAACCTAATCTTGTACCATATTTATCAAATTTCAAATTGCCTTATCCTGTTACCGACATGAGTTTTTTAAATTTTTTGTCAACAACTTGAAAGAATCTCACAGGTTTAACTTGACCCTGTTGGAGTGTAACTCTTTCCTACATTCTGATACTTTACTTATTTCAATAGTTCCTCTAGTTTCTGAATAAGAGACATTTGAATGTCAAAAATCTGCCCCTGTTTCCCTCTGTTACCACTTGACCAGACCCAAATGAATCCCGTATACAGTCTGTAGAACGACATTTGGGACAGGCTCCATAAACTCACTAGAGTGACATCCATATCTCAAAGAACTCAACCCTCTGACCGAACCCTGAGGGAGTTAACGTCACTCGTTCCTGCTAATAAATCGAGTCTGTTAGTTCACGTTAGCTGTCGGCGACTCACTTCTTGCAGTTTGACTTTTACATCAACTTTACGACATATAAACCGTAACGACTCAGCCCTTTTGAGATTATGTGTTTAATTCAGTTTTGCGCAAATCTCACAGAAATGAAACTTAAAACCACATCACTAATTTGCATAAACTAAGCGAAGATAAAAAAAACAGCTCTTGTGTCGCTGATGTGGTTCAATTTTTGTCGGATTAAAAGACATGACTCAGGTGAATACAGGTTAGTGTGATCATATTTGCCTTTGTCGAAACCAGGACAGCGTACGGGGGGAGGGGGGCGGGGCCTCGTCATCCACATTGAGCGACTCTCACCTGGAAAAACTTTTTCCCACTGGACACAGAAACATATGTGCTGCTTTATCCACTGTGCACATGGACTCACACTTGTCCCAACGCAACGGAAAGTGTGAAATTTCTTGTACAAGTCATCGTTCGGCACGTTGATTGACCGACTGTTTGTGTCTCGCTCCTTCTGATGCAGAGACACATGTACACACCTGTTTGGTCACGATACACACAGCAACATACATTTGGTTTGTCGATTAAAATGAACGTAATCGATGAAATTCTTAATGATCAATTATCGACTAATCATGCCCATCCCTAGTCCTGACGTATGTAATGCACCCAATCCTGTAGGAAGAAGAACAATAACGTCTTTCCCCTTGATAAAATTCACCAAACATTCTCTTTGTTCTGGCTTTAAAGGTTGTATAGAGGATTTTTTTAAGGGAAGAGAAATACAGCGACAGTCCTTGTGCGTGTTCAGAATTACTGTTGAAGTTTCCTGTCTAGAAGTAATTCAGCGACCAACGTGTCAGTTTTTATACCCTCCGTCTGCTTCATTCGCGCCATCGCTGGACGAGATCTCCAAGAATCACCTCAGTTTGGCTTTGCTCCTTTTCCCCTTCTCTTCTTTTTTCAGCGACCTCAAAAACCGACTTTCTTTTGCTGCGAACCGGTCGTGGATTCTCGTCCGCCGTCGCGACAAACTTTGTGCGAAATGCGAGGAAGCGACAGTTCGAAAAAGCCTTTAAGAACCGCTGCGTAAACCACGTAATCCCCGCGCTCCAACAAGTCAATTATACTAGGGAGTTTGATTGACAACCTAACAGCCAATAGAAAATGAGGGAGCCTCGTTTTCTATTGGCTGATGTTTATCTGGCCTCAACACGTCCACAGTTGATAGATTCTCGTTCTTTTTTTTTTTGGTCATCATAATTACAAAGCTGCTGCGTCTCTGTAATGGTATTTTAATCTTTGACTGACAGTTTGAAACAAAAAAAAATCCTCCATACAACCTTTAAATCCTCGATCTCGGGAATCGTTGACAACACAGAATGTCTGTCTCTTCTCTGATTGGCTGGTGCCCAATCTCACACTTCTGGGGTTTTTGCAAATCGTCTAGTGTATTCTGATTCCTGACCTAGTCGCTGGAGAGAAATTAAATTGAGTGAAGGCACTAGGTGGCGCTAGACTGCCTATGAAATTGCCTGAAATGTTCCATAATGTGACATTAAACAGCTCCAGTTCACATTTATTCAATTACAGGTGGTTTTAAAGCTCAAAAATATCTGTTGTAAAATAGTTTCCTCATCATAAACAGACCTGGAGTTTGTTTCACTGACACATGTTTAACACACAAACTCTGCATTCATATTTAGGCTGAGTTCTTCTCTCAAACCGAAAACACTCCGTTCCACCTTGTGATGTCATGAGGTAATACAGGAAGTGCTCCACTGTGTTTTGAAACTCCATACACCTTCACTAAAATCATTTGGATAATTTCTGCCTTCGAATTGCCGATCTCTACTGAACTAAAGGTAAAAGTTGTTGCCGTTCACTTGAAAACTACCACTTGATGACATCACAAGGTGGAACAGAGCTTTGTAATGTAGACAGACTAATAACAAAACGTTACTCAAACATGTGTTAATGAAACTAAACATCGTGACGCAGTGTCTCGTGGGTACAGATTCTACTGTAACCAAACGAACTTTTACATCCTATTTTTGGTGTAGATTGGCTTCGGTTCCCACGTGCCCTTGGGCTGCACACTCATTCAGGTCAGACAGAATGACTGGACGATTTGAATCTGCTCTTCGTTTGAACCTCGTCAGACACAAAAAGATCTGTCCCCAAAACTTTCACAGTTTCTCAGACCAGAGTTCAGCAACGAAGCAGATTTTACTCAGATGAGATTCAAGAGATTAGAAACACAAAGAGGAAGTGAACTGTGCAGAGTCTGACAATGAAAGGAGCAGACGGAAGTACACCAAAGTACACTAAAGTACACTAAAGTACACCAAAGTACACCAAAGTACACTAAAGTACACTAAAGTACACCAAAGTAAACAAAGTACACCAAAGTACAAAAGTACACTAAAGTACAAGTACAAAGTACACAAAGTACAAAGTACACTAAAGTACACTAAAGTACACTAAAGTACACCAAAGTACACCAAAGTACACCAAAGTACACTAAAGTACACTAAAGTACACTAAAGTACACCAAAGTACACTAAAGTACACCAAAGTACACTAAAGTACACTAAAGTACACTAAAGTACACTAAAGTACACTAAAGTACACTAAAGTACACTAAAGTACACCAAAGTACACTAAAGTACACTAAAGTACACCAAAGTACACTAAAGTACACTAAAGTACACCAAAGTACACCAAAGTACACTAAAGTACACTAAAGTACACTAAAGTACACCAAAGTACACTAAAGTACACAAAGTACACCAAAGTACACTAAAGTACACTAAAGTACAAAGTACACTAAAGTACACTAAAGTACACCAAAGTACACCAAAGTAGTACACTAAAGTACAAAAGTACACTAAAGTACACTAAAAAAGTACACTAAAGTACACTAAGTACACTAAAGTACACTAAAGTACACCAAAGTACACCAAAGTACACCAAAGTACACTAAAGTACACTAAAGTACACTAAAGTACACCAAAGTACACTACAAAAGTACACTAAGTACACTAAAGTACACCAAAGTACACCAAAGTACACAAAGTACACTAAAGTACACAAAGTACACTAAAGTACACTAAAGTACACTAAAGTACACCAAAGTACACCAAAGTACACTAAAGTACACTAAAGTACACTAAAGTAGTACACCAAAAGTACACTAAAGTACACTAAAGTACACCAAAGTACACCAAAGTACACTAAAGTACACTAAAGCAGACTGAAGTACACTAAAGTACACTAAAGTACACTAAAGTACACCAAAGTACACTAAAGTACACTAAAGTACACCTAAAGTACACCAAAGTACACTAAAGTACACTAAAGCAGACTGAAGTACACTAAAGTACACTAAAGTACACTAAAGTACACCAAAGTACACCACTAAAGTACACTAAAGTACACCAAAGTACACCAAAGTACACTAAAGTACACTAAAGTACACTAAAGTACACTAAAGTACACCAAAGTACACTAAAGTACACTAAAGTACACCAAAATACACCAAAGTACACTAAAGTACACTAAAGCAGACTGAAGTACACTAAAGTACACTAAAGTACACTAAAGTACACCAAAGTACACTAAAGTACACTAAAGTACACCAAAACACCAAAGTACACTAAAGTACACTAAAGCAGACTAAGTACACTAAAGTACACTAAAGTACACTAAAGTACACCAAAGTACACTAAAGTACACTAAAGTACACCTAAAGTACACCAAAGTACACCAAAGTACACTAAAGTACACTAAAGCAGACTGAAGTACACTAAAGTACACTAAAGTACACCAAAGTACACTAAAGTACACTAAAGTACACCAAAGTACACCAAAGTACACTAAAGTACACTAAAGCAGACTGAAGTACACTAAAGTACACTAAAGTACACCAAAGTACACTAAAGTACACTAAAGTACACCTAAAGTACACCAAAGTACACTAAAGTACTAAAAAGTACAACACTAAAGTACACTAAAGTACACTAAAGTACACTAAAGTACACCAAAGTACACTAAAGTACACTAAAGTACACCAAAGTACACCAAAGTACACTAAAGTACACTAAAGCAGACTGAAGTACACTAAAGTACACTAAAGTACACCAAAGTACACTAAAGTACACTAAAGTACACCAAAAGTACACCAAAGTACACAAAGTACACTAAAGTACACTAAAGCAGACTGAAGTACACTAAAGTACACTAAAGTACACTAACACCAAAGTACACCAAAGTACACTCAAAGTACACTAAAGTACACTAAAGTACACTAAAGCAGACTGAAGTACACTAAACTACACTAAAGCAGACTGAAGTACACTAAAGCAGACTGAAGCGGACTGAAGAATCAGTCTTGGTCTTGTCTCAGACTCAAGTGCATTTGGACTTGGTCTTGTTTTTGTTTTTTTTATTATATTTCATTATGGCTGCTGCTGTTGGGAATAAACTGGGTGATTCACTGAGGCTCGTGCACTCGTTTGATACACATGTGCCAAAATAACAGTAAAATACAAATAACATAAATGTTGAAAATTACAAAGCTTATCTCGGTTTGGTCTCAATGGGCCGTGGTCTTGGTTTTGTCTTGGTCTTGTCTCCGTCTCAAACTTTGAAAGTCTCGGTTTTATCGTGGTCGCAAACTTTGAAAGTCTTGGTCTTGTCTTGGTCTTGATTCTCAGAGGTCTTGGTCTTATCTTGGCCTCAACCTTTAAAAGTCTTGATCTTGTCTCAGTTTCAACCTTTAAAAGTCTTGATCTTGTCTCAGTCTCAGACTTTAAAAGTTTTTAGTCTTGTCCTGGTCTCGACCCTCAGAGGTCTTGATCTTGTCTTGGTCTCGATCTTTAAAAGTCTTGGTCCTGTCTCAGTCTCAAACTTTGAAAGTCTTGGTCTTGTCTTGGTCTTAAACCTCAGAGGTTTTGGTCTTGTCCTGGTCTCGACCCTCAGATCTTGATCTTGTCTTGGTCTCAATCTTTAAGAGTCTTGGTTTTGTCTCGTTTTCAGGATTTAAAAGTCTCAGTATTGTCTCTGTCTCGGCCTGGTCTTGGTCTCGATTAATGCGCTCTTGACTAGTTTTCTGACATGTTTCGTAAGGAATTCTAAATCTCTTCACAGTTTGCCAACGATTGTCGTCCCTTCTCTCTCTAACTGCTCATTTTGGTCTTAAAATGTTCATATTAACTTGCTCTACATCATCCTGGGGTTTATATTTTGATATTTAGTCCGCTTCTATAACCTCTATAACCCTCGTGAGCTTGGTGGGGTGAGGCTCACCAGACTGATGAAGATGAGCACGAGCTGGATGATGTCGGTGTAGGCCACAGAGTAGAGTCCTCCCAGCAGAGTGTAGGTGATGGCCACGGCAGCGGAGATCCAGATGCTCACGGTGTAGGACAGGTCCAGGATCACGCTCATGGTCACGCCTGGAACACACAGAACAGAGCAGATTGAGACGAGGGCTTTTCGGTTGAGACTCCCCCTAGAGGCTGAGTGTGACGCTGCAGGACGCGGAGGAGAGACGCTTTTGTCCTGAGGGCTGCTACTCTCCTCAAACTGCCCTGATACTGTTAATATTTGACACCACAGCGACTTATTTAGAAGCATCACTACCATTTTTTATATGTTTTACTCTTTGTTATTGTAAAATATTGTAACCATGGATCTATAATAAAACCTGGATAAGCCCCTCCCCCTCTGTCCCGGCGTCAGACAGACTAGTGGCCGCTCCAGGTACTGCAGCTTGGGCCCAGAAAGAATTTTCCCATAGAGCACAATGCATTTTCTGGGAATTCCAACGGCCCGTGTTCTTTCACAAAGGTCAGATTTTGTAGGATTCTTTTCTATTTTCATAACATAAACTTTTTAACATTTAACATGAACTCTGATTGGTCCAAACGCTCTAGGCCGTGCACGCTACAAACATCACACGGGTGGGAGGAGCTCGCCTGGATTGAGAAAGTAATACATGCATCACGAATTTTGGACTATCGGTCATCGCGCAATCCACACTGGGAAGGATTTGATTGATTTGTTTGTTTTCCCAGTGGGATGTGTCTATTGTCAAGTCGATCTTTTCAAGTCTTTTGAACCATATCACTTTTGTTTCTGGTTCTGATATTGTCATATTTTAGTTTTGGGATTCGGACATCGTAATTGTGTGGTTGTTGGATCCTAACAACGGAAAAATGACTCGAGAAATGTGTTTGTGAACTCCATAAATGCAAAAGTGAATCAGATGTGTGTGACTCAAACCTCCGTTCAAACAGTTTTTCTTCCCAATGGAATTGAAAAATAGTGAAAGGTGAAGGTGATGGGCAGGATTGATCCACAGGAAGAACCAAAAAGGAAACATTTGGCTGCCTAAGAAATCCTCCTGAGTTTACAGAGAACATTTTGTATGTGGAGCGACGACAAAACAAAAAGCCTTTCACTTTGGTGTTGACTTTTTAAACTCATAACTGAGGTTGAGTGAGGGATCGGGATTTTGTTCTCTGTAAACTCGGGAGGATTTCTTAGACAGACAAATGTCTCCTTATTGGTTCTTCCTGTGGATCAATCCTGCCCATCGTTTTTTGTTTTTGTTTTGTTTGTTTATTGGAATCAGTATTCAGCATCGAGTCGACATTGAGTAACAAAATAAAGTTTGAAATTTTAGTATCATAAGAAAAAACAGATCTGTCCTGCAGTGGGCGCAGCAAAATTGGAGATTCCAAATTTTTATTTTAATGAGACCACAATGTGACGTTTTGGAGTGAAGCTCTTCTTCTTTGGTGTGAAGAAACGTCACATTGTGGTGTCATTAATAAAAATGTGAGCTCCAAAAAAACTGCAGTGCACAATTTTTGTCAATCAACTTTTCCCTGGATGTGCTTGTCTATCTTGTCCAAATTATTGTCCAAATAATTTCCCTTGTGGATCAATAAAGTTTGTCTAAGTGTAAGTCTAAGTTTATCCTCTGGTAAAATGTGGTCTCGTGGCAGGACCCTTGTGCCAGCACCAGTGTCAGTATGAAAACAAGCGAGTGTGGCCCACGTGGCTCTGAGCGGCTGGTTGTTGTTGACCAGATGAGTCGAGTTAGCTGCACTTGCTCGGGCCTGAAATAGCGGTTGGTATGTGGGGTCAGGAGGAGTGACCCTGTCCCTGCGGTCCGAGCCCACCTCACTTCCCCAAACAGACGCCGAGAACGTGATGAGAGCCGCGACGTCCTGGGCTATAATCAGACCGGACACTTTTCCACAGACCAGACACTTTTCTGAACATCTTTTCAGCTCACAGTGTGGAGCAGGATATAAAGTATAAAGCAACCAAGAGTCTGGTCATGATCTGTAGGACCAAAGGAGATAAGCACATGAGATTTTTCTAATGACGACACAACTAAAACAGAGCTGTTTATTGGTAACTCTGCCCCGTTTTTAAGCTCTAAAACAAATAACAAATGTATAAGAGAACTTATCACAAGAGAATCTATTAGTAGACCAGCTTCTGTTTTTGTCTGGAATAATACATTTACGGACATTGACTGGAATGATGTTTGGCTTTTGCCTAGAAAATATTTTGTAACTAACAAGACTCGTGAGGTCTGCCTGAAAATCCTGCATAGATGTTACCCTGTTAACGCTGTTATCTCAAAATTTCACTTAAACACAGATCATCTTTGCTCATTCTGTCACAGCGTTGAAGAAACGGTCACCCATATGTTTTGGGAATGCTCATACACTCAAATCTTTTGGAATGACATATTTTTGTTAGTGAATAGAAAGCTTGATACAAACCTACAATTTAATATAAAACATGTCCTTTTTGGTGTCTTTGAAGAAGAAATTCCTGCTAAAAAAATATATGTGTTGAATTTAATCCTTATCCTATCAAAGTTTCATATTCATTGCTGTAAATTTTCTAGTCAGAAACCCAAATTTGTCATGTTTCAGTCCCTTTTGTCCTCTTATATAAATTCTCTAAATTACTGCACAAATCCCAAAGCCTTGAAAACAAAAGTAATTTTCTACAGTTGTATATGCACATTTATATATTTACACTGTGATGTATATGTGTGTTATTAATTGCGCTGATCGAGCCTTGTGAGCATATGAACACTTAAGCCTCCAACAATGTTTGTGTTTATACCATTGTATATTACTTTGTATATTTGAAATAAAAAAAAATAAAATAAAAAAAAAAAGCACATGAGATTTCCTGACTTTTGGCTGTCAAATGTTGAATTGTCTGTTAAAACAAAAATTAAATATCTCGGGCAAATCATCACTGCAAACATGACAGATGATGATGATGATGATGATGATGATGATGTGTACAGACATGTAGGACGCTCTGTGCTCAGGCAAATCCTCTTATGCATAAGTTTGGTTCTTGTACAAATGATGTAAAGTTATTATTGTTCAGATCTTATTGTTCACCGTTGTACAGCTCACCTCTGGACTCATTATAAAAAAGTCAGTTTGTGCAGCCTGCAGGTGTCTACAGTGAGGCTTTACGGAGCTTTTGAGGAGCCAAGATGGACGAGTGCGACTGAGATGTTTGAAAACTCTGCAAGCTGCACTAAGAATTTTAATGTACAGTTTTATCTGCAGACTGAACAAATCAGACAATAAAATAATAATGTCACTCACAAATCTGAGACTCAGTGCAGTAAGTTCAGTTCAGTATGTGGAAACACGGTGAGGTGGTGTGGTTCTTTTGTACTTGTCTGTTTTTAAAATGGACCATGAGTCCGGAATAAAGATGATGATGATGATGATGATGAATAACAACATTAAAATACGCAGCTGTATTTAAAATTCAGCTGAATTTGGCATCTTGGTTTTTTGCTGCGAATCTTTTTCACTGTGAATTTTACACTCTTGAAGGGCTTGAAAATATTTGTGCTGAATATTTAAAAGGTGTTTTTATATTGAATTTGAAAACTGTGAAAAAGCACACTTAAAATTCAGATAAAAAAATTATTTAAATAATAATAAAAAATAATAATAATTATAATAACATCTTTTTTTCAGAGTTAAAAATGTCAAAGTGATAAATTCAGTAGCATTTAAAATTCAAAATCTGATGATTGTCTGATTTCTGTGGCCCGTGTATCGTATGTGTTGTGTGATTTTATGTTGTTTGTGTGTTTTTGACGTCGGGGGGTTTTCCATCAAAGTGGCTCAACAAATCCAGGTTTATCCTGAAATCCTGAGCTGAATTGACTCCATCTTTAGCTTAAGTCTTAAGTCGTTCCGTGACAGAAATGCGTCTGAGTCTGACCAAAGCTAAACTCAGGCCTGAAGTTTAAGGTGCACTTTGTTTGTGCTCGTGGCGACTTTGGGAAGAACAGAGCAATGGAGTTTGATTTGGGACACAGAACTTTTTCAGTCATTCCGATTTGAGGAGCAAGAGGAAAGACACTACTCCCCCTCCTCACCTGTTCTCCCCCTCCTCACCTGTTCTCCCCCTCCTCACCTGTTCTCCCCCTCCTCACCTGTTCTCCCCCACCTCCCTCACACTGTTCTCCCCTCCTCACCTGTTCTCCTCCTCTCTCACCTGTTCTCCTCCCTCTCACCTGTTTCTCCCCCTCCTCACCTGTTCTCCTCCTCCTCCTCACCTGTTCTCCCCTCCTCACCTCCTGTTCTCTCCTCCTCACCTGTTCTCCTCCTCTTCTCCTCACCTGTTCTCCTCCTCTCCACTCTGTTCTCCTCCTCTTCACCTGTTCTCCTCCTCCTCACCTGTTCTCCCCCTCCTCACCTGTTCTCCTCCTCCTCACCTGTTCTCCTCCTCCTCACCTGTTCTCCCCCTCCTCACCTGTTCTCCCCCTCCTCACCTGTTCTCCCCCTCCTCACCTGTTCTCCTCCTCCTCACCTGTTCTCCTCTCCTCACTGTTCTCCTCCTCCTCACCTGTTCTCCTCCTCTGTCCTTCACCTGTTCTCCTCCTCCTCACCTGTTCTCCTCCTCCTCACCTGTTCTCCTCCTCCTCACCTGTTCTCCTCCTCACCTGTTCTCCTCCTCCTCACCTGTTCTCCTCCTGTTCTCTCACCTGTTCTCCTCCTCCTCACCTGTTCTCCTCCTCTCACCTGTTCTCCCCCTCCTCACCTGTTCTCCTCCTCTTCACCTGTTCTCCTCCTCTACCTGTTCTCCTCACCTGTTCTCCTCCTCACCTGTTCTCCCCCTCCTCACCTGTTCTCCTCCTCTTCACCTGTTCTCCTCTTCACCTGTTCTCCTCCTCCTGTTCTCCCTCCTCACCTGTTCTCCCCCTCCTCACCTGTTCTCCTCCTCCTCACCTGTTCTCCTCCTCACCTGTTCTCCTCCTCTTCACCTGTTCTCCTCCTCTCACCTGTTCTCCTCCTCCTCACCTGTTCTCCTCCTCCTCACCTGTTCTCCTCCTCTCACCTGTTCACCTGTTCTCCTCCTCACCTGTTCTCCCCCTCCTCAC